CCGATCCCGGTCCGGTACGGGTGCGACACTGAGGGTTGCGATCCGTTGCCGGTCACGAAAATAGGCAAAAAGGCAAAATAAATAAATAAATAAATAAATAAATAAAGTGTCAGCTTAGTTGTTGATGAGTGCTATATTGTCAGATGTAGTTACCAGAGGGGCTTCCTTTTCCTTCACCCGAGAAAGAAACTTACTACATAGGCACAGGCCTGATTAATTGATAGCAGATAACTCTCTTCTTCAAGGGTAGAGCCTGGGTAAGAAAACTTATCCATGTGATTCTGCAGGCAGGCAGGCTTAGACAGAGCAATCACCCAGGAATGGTTGAGTGGGATAGATTTGATCTCTCCCACACTCATCAAGAGGAGTGAGTGAAGGCCAGGAGTGCCTCCACATGGAAACCTGAGGTCAAGGAAATGGAGATAGCCCCTTATGCAAACCTGTGCTGCTGGAAATCTTACTGAAGACTCAGTGGATTATAGGGATTAAACTCATAACATCAATAAAATATAAACTCCCTTTACTGAGTATGTCCTGTATACCTACATATACATCTGAGCATGTCCCACTGGCCAGGCACCATGCTAAGGAGGCAAATTCACATGTGTAACAAGTGCCACCACTGTTATTTACACCTACACAGCCTGACTGAAGGTATGCATATTGCACTTCACAGCCAAATGACTTCTAACTTCAAGGCCTGTGAATCTTGTTAGAGGAGATATGTATCTTCTAATTTTGTTGATACCTTCCCTCCCTTATGCTTTGGTTACCCTTAATGATATTACTGGGATAGGAAGGGCTGGACTTGAATTACTCAACTGTTTTGGGTGATAGCCTGGTCCTCAGATGGATCTAAGAGGCTTTGCTTTACCCCAAGAATTTCCAGAGGTATACACAAATGCACCAGGGATCCATGGAAAATTAACACACTAGTTATAGAATAACTGTTTAATTTAGGCAAAAAGAGGTCTTCTAGATTTCCTTCTCCATAGGTCTGACCCCCTTGCATCAAGGAATTGGACATATTATGAATGCAACCAATGTATTAGGGAAATTCATTATTTGTATATACTAAAACCTGTTTTTTTTCTAAAGATTTTTACCTTATTGGTTTAATATCCTTACTTAAATGAATAGTCACTGTATACCAACAAGTGTAGACCTCAGTCTGTACTGTCTAATATAGTAAACATTAATGTAGTGGATTGAATTATATCCCCCCAAAACTCACTGAGACTTGAATTGTCTCCCAAGTTTTATGTATTAGAAACTTTGCCCCCACTGTAACTGTTAAGAGGGTGGGAAATCCTATTATTCTAATTGAAAGGTGGAGCCCTCAAGGGGTGATTGGATTGTAGGACCATGCAGTAGTGAGTGGATTAAAAATGGTGTTCAGGGCTTTAAAAGAAGAAGAGAGTCTTTCTTTCTCTCTCTCTGCTCTCTCTGCTTCCACCATCTTG